GTGTGTGTGTGTGTGTTTGTGTGTGTAATTTTCATATTAATATTGTTTATATGACAGGAAACATATATAAGATTATTTAATCATTACTTCTCCAGGACACCTGAACCGAGAACAAGAGCATTTTAAATGTCATAATTACATCATATTACACTAGGAAAAAAAACGTGCAAGAAGTCATCGTATAGAAAGACATCGTATAGAAAGCTGGAAATTAAATAAAGCACACATTAATTGTAAAATTATAGACAAAATTATAGATAAAATATGTACGTTTTGCTTATAATCAAAAAATTGCTTTTTCTTTTCTATGATACAAAATTGTTTGGTGTTTTCTTAAACAAAAAATAAAAAAAATATATAATAAATACTGTACTAGAATCTGTAGTGTCTCAGTGAATTTTCTCAAAGTCACTCGGCAAAGCATTAAAAATAGGGCATAAATAGTGTAGCCAATACCCGTCTTAAGCGAAAACCTATACACAGTCTATTAAAAAAAAATAGAGGTAGGCCTATGTACTTTAAATTATATAATATTTTGTTTCCAAAATTGTTACCGATAGCGACTGGGTTTTGTTTTATTCATGTAGAGCTTTGTAGTGCCTACTGATCTGTCAACTGTGTCAGGTGTAATGCAAACACGTTATACAGTATTACACAATACATACTGCCATGCTATATCTATACTCTTTAAATTAATTATGTATAGCACAATATATCCCCTATCAATATGTATGTGTGCCAAGACACGCGATAGAAGCTATTATCGAGCGTCAGTCAAATAGTTTTGCACATTGCGCTGCAATTTAATTCATTTCAATTTTCATTATAAGCTGTAAACAAAGCACTAAATAAAATACATATCTCGTATAAATAATAGTACTGTAGTAGCAGTAGTATGTATTAGTAGAATCAGCTGTAGCAGTAGCAAGAAAAGCAGTACTATAGTCGTATTAATACTAACAATAGCAGTAAGGTAAGAATAATAATAATAATAATAATAATAATAATAATAATAATAATAATAATAATAATAATAAAAAGTAAGATTATGACACAGATTGACATAAAAATCTATGAACTTAGCTTTTTATAGTACAGTATTTAATAGATCGGATTATATATTGTTAGTTGTTGTTGTTATAAGTGTTAAACCAGTGTAAATTTCTTTCAACATCCGACATAAGATATTATCACTTTAATTTTTTTGATATTTTTTACTATAATGTAAATTAAAGAAATATATCCCATTTCGTGTCATTAAGTAATTAACAATTAGTGCCACGCTGACCTACCTGAAGTAAAATTTGATTTATATATTTCCCAGTGATTGATTATTGTTCTATAGTCAGGTACTTTATTAGCTGACAGAGTTCTTTAAATGAGTGGCGGTTAGCTATGAAGCAGGGAAATGGCTTGTCGAAAAGTAATAACCATCCCTTGTGCATACTTAAGTAGCCTTCCCACGAAATGACGTCATAATAAATCTATCATCTCCCTGTTGATATTACAACGCCAGAGCTTACTAATCCCGTGATTGGTTGTTATGTAGCGCGTAGCAACATTTACATGTAGACGCGCGAGTGTATGCGAAAGTATTGCACGCAAATCATGGAGATTAAGTTTCTGGTTGATGTGAACCTACACACCTTTAAATCCTGGGTTTACAGATTGCGTGTAAACGAGATCGTCAGCGTACTGTTTTAGATGATGAATTAAACACACGAGATCAGTCGAACTGATTGTACATTAATGAACGGTTTCAATCGCCAGCGTTATGCCGCTTGCTTCAATCATAAACTGAATACCTAATGAGGGATAATGCAATCCCAGGCGTGCCGATAATCTGTATACAATGCTAATGTTCTATAATTCATAGAGTAATAATAATATTATTAGATTCAATCATATTATATGAATATCTGCGAAAGGTGGACATTTCTTCAAAACCTGTTTGAGTGTTGTTACCATAAAATAAATCTAGCATGTAAATCTGACGTTGCTATGTATGATTTAGGAGACTCAAAATGGACCATGACGAAATGACCATTAAAGATGTCTACTCGAAAATAGATCATTATTATTAGTACTGTATTTAAAATAATATATCATTTGATAAAAAATAGGCCCCTAATAATAATAATAATTATTATTATTATCATATTAAAGCTTAATATTGATATCAAAAAATTACCATTATCATTTTTATCATTCTTACTAGTGCGTAAAGAGAAAAGATTTTCACTAACAGTACCATTATTGTTAATATAATATCGTTATTCAGATTATCATCATCGTCACAATTTGTTTCCATTGCAATTTTGTCATCTTTAACATCGCAATAATCAATATGAACAATATAATACCATTTAACGAAATTGTGTGGTTGTTTTATTATAAGTATCGTATAATATTACAATGTCCATTTACCTTGAGATAAACGAATGACGTTAAGGCCTACCTACGCATAATGTACCTAGCAATGGAACACTTGTGAATGTAAACAATTTTCTTCTGGCGTTAAATACAATTTTCTGCTCCCCTCCGATAATTGCAACAATTTTTATTCAGGAATTTAACACATTTCATTAAAACAACATAATAGATACTATAAAACATACATAAGTTATGCAGGAAAATGAAGATGAATTCAAAATGATAAGAAAATAAGAATATTTACGTACCTCGACGTTCTCTAAACGTCTAAATCACCAGAAAAGAGAAAGGAAGGAGAAATGGAAAAATGTCGCAAGAAATATCCAGCGACGGGGATGTGTACAACAACCGTGACGAGGAGACTGTCTATATTATCTACCGCCAATGAGGATTCATCCAATGCAGACAATAAGAACACTGGAACACAAGCAGACTTCACTCAGTGAATAAATTATACTGATGCGATCTGTAATAGTTAAGTTAAACCGTGACGTCACTTAACGAACGCCAGCACATGCGCACTCCAACGGCGGATCAATAGTAATTTCCCAAGAGCTGAAGTCTATTGAAAACTGTTCGGATATTATTATCATTCCATTATTAGCAGCAATTATAATTAGAAAGATTACAAATGGTGACGTGATAAAGATGTCGTGGATTGGGTAAGTGGTTGCCAGAATCACCTTTTGGCAGGTTGCGTGGGTCTCAATAATGATATTGATATAAAATATCCTATTTGACATCTGGTAAAATTAGAGGAAAAGCTAATAACAGTCAATGATATATATATTGATATAAATAGTGGATGGGAGAGTAAATAAAAAAATTATATTGTGAACCTCAAATTTCGCACTCTCATCACTCTTCACGCATATACTGTATATATATATATATATATATATATATATATATATATATATAAATCATCAAAGAAAGGTAAATACAGTGTTTCGAATAAAGGACATAATAATACACCGTGTAGCATAGCTCTCAACGAATGTAGTCCTGTAAATAAATGAATAAAGAAATTGTGCAATAAAATGCCTCTGGCGGGATTCGAACCTGCTACCTCTCGCTGTCAAGGCGAGTGTCATAACCATTAGACCACGGAGGCTTCATGGTAGACTAATTCAAATACCACCAGATACACTTTATTACACAATAAGTACGGCTAGACACAAATAATAACATATACTGAAATGTAAATCAAGGTATATATACATAAATCATCAAAATACAGTGTTTCGAATAAAGGACATAATAATACACCGTGTAGCATAGCTCTCAACGAATGTAGTCTTGTAAATAAATGAATAAAGAAGTTGTGCAATAAAATGCCTCGATGATTAATAAAATGAAATGATTTATATTTCAGTATATGTTATTATTTGTGTCTAGCCGTACTTATTGTGTAATAGAGTGTATCTGGTGGTATTTGAATCTGTTTAACCATGAATCCTCCGTGGTATAATGGTTATGACACTCGCCTTGACAGCGAGAGGACGCAGGTTCGAATCCCGCCAGAGGCATTTTATTGCACAATTTCTTTATTGATTTATTTACAGGACT